CCCCGGGGCCCTCCCAGCCACCCCCGGGACCCTCCCAAAGGCCCCTCCCGGTGCCCTGGAACTCCCTCAGAACCCCCAAAATCCCCCTTGAGGGCCCTCCCGGAGACCTCCCCTGAGCCCCCCAAGCCCTTCAGGACCCCCCCCCACCTTTAAGAGCTCCGGTTTCCGCCCCCACCCACACGTGAAACAACCGCGTGGGCGCCGCCATCTTGCCGCGCGCGGGTCCGTCCCTCCCGAGCGCTCCGGCCCGGAAACCCCGAACGCGGCCGGACCGTTCCGGGCAGAAAAGTTCCGGGTAGCTCCCGGCATCCCTCGCGCCGGGCTCATTTGCATAACCACGCCCCTCGTGGGCGTGGCCGGCCCCGCCATGGCGGAGCGGGAGGAGCGGCGCTTCGTGGAGCTGCCCCGGGACTCGGTGAGGCTCATGGCGGAGAGCGCCGGGGTGGAGCTCAGCGATGAGGTGGCGGCGCTGCTGGCCGAGGATGTGTGCTACCGGCTCCGGGAGGCCACGCAGGTACCGGGAACGGGGCTACCGGGGATACCGGGGGTTACCGGGACTACCGGGATTACCGGGGTTACCGGGGTTACCGGGGTTACCGGGGGTTACCGGGGGTTACCGGGACTACCGGGATTACCGGGGGTTACCGGGATTACCGGGACTACCGGGGTTACTGGGGTTACCGGGGTTACCGGGATTACCGGGGTTACCGGGGGTTACCGGGACTACCGGGATTACCGGGATTACCGGGGTTACCGGGATTACCGGGATTACCGGGGGTGCTGGGGCCGGTTCCCATCCCCGGTTCCCATTCCGGTTTCCCATTCCCGTTCCCGGTTTTCCATTCCCATTCCCCCGTTCCCCATTTCCCATCCCCGGTTCCCATTCCCGGTTCCCATTCCCGTTCCCATTTCCATTCCCGTTCCCGTTCCCATTCCTGGTTTCCCATTCCCATTCCCGGTTTCCATTCCCGGTTCCCGGTTCCCGTTCCCATTCCTGTTCCCATTCCCGGTTCCCGGTTTCCCATTCCCATTCCCGTTCCCGGTTCCCGTTCCCGTTCCCATTCCCGTTCCCATTCCCATTCCCGG